TTGTGAAAACAAGGATATTCTCTTACATTACTACAATATAATTATGAAAGTCAGTAAATTCATTATTGACACAATATTGATATGTAATAATATATAGTTTTCTTTCAACATTTGTCACTTTTGTCCCAAGTATTCTTTATAAGTTATTTTTCTCATATATAGTTGCACATTCCATTAATTTTCATATCTTGTTTGTCTTTAAAATCTGAACTACTTACTTCCTTAGCTTTTCTTTGTCTTTTATGAAAAATGACATTTTTGAAGTGTATAATCCAGTTGTTTTATAGTTTCTTTAAAATTGAGTTGTCTTGTTTTATAGTTGTCTTGTTTTCTCATTAAACTCAGATTATGTATTCTTTATAGCTTTATTGAAATATATTTCAAATTTCATAAAATAAACCCACTTAATATGTAGAGTTTAGTGGGTTTTAATATGTTTAGAATTGTACAACCACCACTACTATCTAACTTTAGAACATTTTCAAACCCCAAAATGAAACTACTGCTCATTCCAATTCCTGCTCCTTTCCTTACTGCTAGCATCCCAGTGCTAGGCTAATTGATTTCTGTCCCCATAGATTTGTTTATTCTAGACACTACATATAAATTGGATCGTAGGAATATGGGTATTTTTTGACTTAATGTTTTCCAGGTTCATCCTTGTAGAAACAAGGATGTAGAAATGTATTGCTATATCATTGTTTTTTATTACCAAATAATATCCCAATTTATGGATTATACTGTATTTTGTTCATTAATTGATCAGTTGATGGACAAGTTGTTTCTATGTCTTTGCTATTGTGACTCTTGTTTTTATGACCATTCATGTACAAGATTTTGTGTGATTATATGTTTTCAGTTCTTCTGGGTATAGGAATGGAATTTCTGGGGCACATGGTAACTATATGTTTAGCATTTTGTTAAACTGACAAACTGGTTTTCAAAGCAGCTGTACCATTTTACCTTACCACTAGCAATGTATGAGGTTTCCAGTTTCTCTACATCTTTTCTTTTTTAAATAACTTTCATTTTTTTTAATTGAGAGAGAAACATCAATTTGTTATTCCATTTATTTATGCATTCATCAATTTATTCTTCTATGTGCCCTGACTGGGGATTGAACCCACAAACTTGGCATACAAGGATGATGCTCTAACCAAATGAGGTAGCTGGCCAGGGCAAATTTCTCTACATCTTCCCCAATACTTGTTATTGTCTGTCATTTTTATTTGAGCTATCCTAGTGGGCATGAAGTGGTATCTTACTGGTTTTGATTTTGATCTCCCTAATAACTTATGATATTGAGCATCTTTTCATATACTTTTTGGTCATTTGTATATCTTTGAAGAAATGTCTTAGATCCTTTGCCTATTTTTAATTTTTTTAATAGTAAGTTCTTTATGTAATCTGGACAAAAATACCTTATTAGATATATGATTATCAAACATGTTATTCTATTCTGTAAGCCATCTTTTCACTTTCTTGTTTATGTGCTTTGAAGCACAAAAGTTTTTCATTTTAATGAAGTCTATTTTATCTATTTTTTTCTTTAATTGTGCTCTTTTGGTGCTGCATCTAAGAAGCCATTGCCTAATCCATAGTCATGAGGATTTATTCCTATATTTTCTTTTAGGAGTTTTATAGTTTCAGCTATTATTTTTAGGTCTATGATCCATCTTGAGTGAATCTTTTTGTGTACGGTATAAGGTAGAGGTCCAACTTATTCTTTTGCACGTGTGTATTCAGTTTTCAATATCATTTCTTCTTTCCCCACTGAATTCTCTCAGTACTCTCATCAAAAATCAATTTACCACAGATGTTAGTGTTTATTTTTGGTCTCTCAACTTTTTTTTATTGATCTCTATGTCTTTCCTTAAGCCATTACCATACTGTCTTGATTACTGTTGCTTTGTAGTAAGTTTCAAATTTGGGAAGTGTAAGTCTTACAGCCTTTTTCTTTATTTACAAGATGGTTTTAGTTTCCTCAGGTCCCTTGAGGGTTCCATATGGAAATTAGAATCAGCTTGTCACTTCCTGCAGGGACAGGGATTGTGGGGTGGGAGTGCAGGAACACAGATCAGATTTGAATGGGGATTGTGCTGAATCTCTTTATCACTTTGGGGAATATTACCATTTTATTAATGTTAAGTATTCAAAGCCATGAACGTGGCTATCTTTCCATTTACTTAGATCTTCTTTAATTTCTTTCGACAATGATTTGTCATTTCAAGTGTACAAGAGTTACACTTCTTTTGATACATTTGTTTATTGGTATCTCATTTTTTGAGCATTTCATTTCTTTCCTTTACAAGGAAAGGAATGCTTGCCCCGCCAGTGTGGTTCAGTCGGTTTGGTGTCATTCTGCAAAGCAAAAGTTCGGGACATGTACCTGGGCTGCAGGTTTGGTCCCTGGTCAGGGCACCTACGAGAGGCAACCAATCAATGTTTCTTGTTCTTTCTCTCTCCCTTCCCTCTCTCTAACAATAAATAAATAAATAAAATCTCTGTCTTAAAGATATTTTATGCTTGTCTTGTATATTTTTTCCCAAACTTAAAAATGAACTGTTCTTTTCCAAGGAGCTGTGGGTGCTCAGTGTGTTCTAAAATACTCCTTTTAGAGAGGAAACTAAAGCCATCTGAGTTTAAATGTTTTGTCTTTTGGCTTTCTGCAAATACTATTGTCTACTGCAATGAGCCAGAATTTTTTGGAGAATACTTCTTTCATGTTTGCAGTCAGGAAAAATAATAGTGCTCTGGAATGTATTATTGTGAGAAAGCAGGAATACTTTCCAAGATGTCTGGAAATACTGGCAAAGATTCCAGCTTCAAAGACCCTTTGTTGGCTAAATATTGATACTTAAAATATGAAAAAGAAGACCATGATTATAATAACTGGAACCAGTTGAATCTGTAAAAGCCCTAAGTTCTTGATGATGCTTAAAAGGAACAAACTGTATTCAGTAAATTTATTCTTATATATTTATCGGTATCCATGATCCCCAATTACAAAAAACACAGAAATATACTTCATTGTTGCTGGCTACGTGATAACTCACCAAGGATCAAGAAATGGACTGTGGAGAAACGGATTGGTGATTATGGTTCTTAAGCTGTATTTAATGTAAGAACTTCCCAAATACAAATGTGGTTGCAGGTATATTAAGAGAACCTTCAAGAAGTCTGGGGCCTGGGTTTAGACAAAGCTTGGCATTTGGTGTGTAACTCACCTGCCTTCCAATAAACTCACAGAAATATGCTAGGTGTGTGTTGTATACTTATACCAGGTTAGCTGTCAGAATCTCCCCAGAATCTTAAGCAATGGGAGGAGTCAGAAAGCTATATAACACTTCCCTTCCTCCACAAGAATAAAGTAGGTACTGCTTATCCATGCATAACCTTTACTGTTTGGATTATCTCACTGGCAAATCTGTATTTCCACAAGGATTCTAGGAACCCAGGATGCTGTACAGGATGCAGTGTTATCAAGTTTCTATCTTTTATATTTTAATGAAAGCATACAATTCAATTTTTATGTGTTTATCTTTCTCAATTGAGAGAACTTTAGGAAAGGAAAAGTAGATAATATTGACAGTTGAAGATTGTTTATGTAGAATGTGATCCCTTGGAACTAGTGTTTAGGTTATAGTTTATGTATTTAACTAGTAGGATAATATAAATTATCTAAATTATAATCTTTAAGTATATTCACAGTTCATCTTTATTTTTGAAGTGTGTACCATAAATCCTGATTTTTTAATTAATTTTGAGCAGTCTTATATTTTTAAGCAAAATTACTACTTTCTTGCCCCTAGAGAACTATTTTTATACCACATAAAAATATAGAATGTTTACTTATATGGAAAATGAAATAGCAATGTTGACTATACCATGATAACAATATTTAAAAAAACATGAAAAGCATTTCTGTGATGAACGTGAGTTGAAGAATTTTCAGTTCACTTTGAAGTCTGATAGCATGGCTGTATCCTTGGGCAGCTACCAAGAGAACCATTGTAAGAGTAGTTTAACAATATTATGTAAATTAGCATTAATTGTTTTACAAAAGAATTTGCTCTTATGATTACAAACTATATATCCCTGAGAAGTGGCCATTAGCAGGGAAAATACATGCTGAAAAGTAATTAGCATAAGCATTTCTGGCCTTTGATCTCAAAGACATAAATACATCAGATTATTTACTAAGACTATGTGAGCACTGTGTTTCTACTAGTTTAGCCAGTATCTTAAGTATCCCTGATGAATAGAGTTCATGTCACTGATTCATGATAACCCATGAATCTAATAGGATGCTGATAACTTCAGAAAGACTGCACAGTTGTCTGCTGTCTAATTGGTGAAAATTACCCCTTAAATTATAACTATCTAATCTGATCTGTTCTCTACTTTTAAAAATTGAAACTTTTACCTTTGAACTTATTTAAAAAATATTATACTATTTACTTTAAAAAGAATCTGACATAGCGCCTTATAGAAGGAGGCTAGTTTTTGAAATCTTGTATAGTTGCTTTTTTCTGCCTTAATGTGTGTCTCTCCTTCATGCATATTTTTACTTGGAATGGTCCTCTGGGAGAATTAAAGTATTGCCGAGGAGCTCTGATGTCTCAGTTGAATTATAAAACATCAACTTGTAAGTCAGTGGTTCTAACCATTCCAACATTGATAGCTTATGAATGAAAAAAGTAGATAGTAAGCGAGAACCAGAATTATAGGGCTGATATGTTGGATTTAACAGAAAATCAAGGGATGAGGCATCTTAAAGTGCAGTTTAAAACCATGAGGGCTATTTGAGGAAAACTGTGCCTTAGCAACTTTATAATATGAAGCCCTAAGATAATGAGAAAATCATGAAGGCAGACAGGACAAAACAATAATGATTCAAATGTCAAAATGCTGTTCCCAGTGAAAATATTCTTCAGAAATGATGGTGAAATCAAGACAATTTTATAAATGTTATACTAAGAGAAATTTGTCTCCAGCAGACCTGCACCACAAGATATGGTGATGGAAGTTCTTCAAAGGAGAAAAGAATATTAACAGAAAACTTGGATCTTCAGGAGCAACTGAAGAGCATTAGAAATGGTAAATATCTGTATAAAAATTTTAAAAAGTTTTTTTATCCTCAAGTATTTTACAAGGACATGGATGTTTCAAGTAATTTTACAACATTGTCCTTTGGGGTTTTCAGTATGCGGATATAATAAATATATGGGTGATAAAATAAATATATAAAACTGCTAGGATACATGATTAATGGAACATATGTGCTTGAGAGGTGTTTATATTTTACATGAAAAAGTATTATGGTTGAATTCTAAAAGATTGGAGATATATAGTATGTTCCTTACTAAAACTACTAAAAAAATACAAAGAGGTACACCTCAAAAGCCAGTAGAAATATTAAACTAAAAAATTATTTAAATTATATTATTAAATGATACGAAAGAAAGAGTAACAGCAATACAACAGTAGAGTGAACAAAAAGAAAATAAGTGGTTGAATGAAATCTAGTAATAATAATTATATTAAATGTTAAAGTTCTAAACACAGCAATTACAAGTCAGAGATTATCTGAGTGAGTAAAAAAGGAAGACCAAACTATGCACTGCTTACAAGAGATACCCTTTAGATATAAAGACACATGGATAGGTTGAAATTAAATGAATGGACAAAACTACACCAGACAATTACTAAGTATGAAAACTAAGAAATAACAGTATTAACTTCAGAGAAAATAACATTCAAGATAGAGTATTAGCAAAGATAAAGAAGAATATGTTATAATGATAAAAGCACCTTTTAAGGCAAAAAAGAACATTTAAGAAGACAAAATTAGAAATGTCTGAGTACTTAACAGCAACTTGAATATACAGGAAACAAAAATCAAGAAAATTCAAGTGAGAAATTGATGTTTCCACAATGACAGGAGATTTTTAAAAACTTCTTAGTAATTAATAGAACACCTAGAAAAAAATCAATAAAGATATAGATTTAAACAATGCTGTAAGTGGCCTTGATGTAATGAATATTGTAGAACACTACACCCCCAAAACTGCCAGATATATATTTTATATGTATATGGTATGTTACCAAATATAGATCATATGATGGAATATAAAACAAATTCACAAATTTAAAAGGAATGAAATTATGCAGAATATGTATTCTTAGCCTCCAAAATTAAAATAAAACTAGTAACAATAAGGCAGGAAAATACCAAATATTTTGAAATTTAATAACATACTCCCAAACAAGTCATAGGGCAAAAAAGAAATCACTAGGGAAATTAGAAAATACTTTGAAGTGAATAATGGTGAAAATACATTATATCAAAATTTGGGGCAAGCAGATGAATCAGTGTTTACAGAGGCAACACAGATTTAATTCCTTAAATTCGAAAATAAGAAAATTCTAGGGTCAGTCATCTAAATTCCACACTGAGAAGGTAGAAAAAAGAAGAAAAAAGTAAATCCAAAGTAAGTAGAGCTAGGAAAGAATAAGATTACAGAAGTTAACCACAGAAACCTAGACCTAAAAAGAAAAAAATAAAATTAACAAAACCAAAAACTAATTTTTAAAAAAGAAACAGCCCTTGCTGGTGTAGCTCACTGGATTGAGCATGGGTCTGCAGACCAAAAGGTTGCAGTTTGATTCCCAGTCAGGACACATGCCTGGGTTGTAGGCTGGGTCCCCAGCAGGAGGCGTGAGAAGCAACCACACATAGATGTTTCTCTCCCTCTCTTTCTCCTTCCCTTCCCCTCTCTCTAAAAAATAAATAAATAAAATCTTTAAAACTATATATAAAAATAAATAAAAAAGAACCAAAAATCATACACACTTACCTAGATGATCAAAGAAAAAGAATTAAAAAACACCAATATAAAGAATGAAAAGGGTTTTTCACTACAATGGACATAAAAGAGTAGTAAGAGAATATTTTTCAGCTTAATGCATCAAATTCAGTAACTTATGTAAGATGGATGAGTTTTTAGAAAGTAGCTTGCCAAACTTGATACAAGGAAAAAAATCTTGGAAATCCTAGTGCCAAATGTTCATAATCTTTTCATAAAACAGAGAACACTGCCCAACATAATTAGGTAAGCATAGCCCTAATACCAAATGTTACAGAGACATTACAGAAAAGACATTTACATACCAGTATCCCTCATGAATTTAAATACAAAAATACATCATGAAGTAAGAGCATTTTAAATTAAATTGTGTATGAAAAGAATAATATATCATGAACAAAGAAGATTTAGTCCAGGGATTCAAGGCTAGATCTGTACCCTCTCATTTAATACACTATCAATGCTAATATACTGTGTTAATAAAATAAAGCAGAAAAAAATCATTTTCAATGTGAGAAAAAGCAGTTGATGAAATTCAATACACGCTTATGATAAAACTCAGCAAACTATGAGCAATAGAGAACTTCTTGAGCTGATAAGATATTTCTACTGAAAACTCTAAATTAGTGTTATATTTAGTGGTGAAAGAATGAATATTTTGCCTCACAATTCTGAAAACTTGGAAAGAATGATGACCACTTTAACCCCTTGTATTATACATTGTACCAATATGCTAGGCATTGCATTAAGGCAAATAATAACAATAATAATGCAATAATGTGCATAAATTTCATAAAGGAACAAATGAAGATGTCCATGCTCTTGGGTTATAAGATTTTTTTACTAGAAAAATCTAAGAATTCTGCAAAACAACCAGAACAAAGGAAAAAAATTTAACAATATTATAGAATACAGAGTTAAGATACAAAAGTCAGTTGTATTTTAGTAGCAAACAATTGGAAGATTTTTAAAAATTTAATTTACAACTGAGCCAAAAAAAGGCAATACTTAAGAGTAAGTATAACAGAAAATATCCACAATATCTACCCTTAAAACTACAAAATATGGCCTTGGCTGGTGGGGCTCAATGGATAGAGTGCTGGATAGAGTGCAAAAGTTCACCAGTTCAATTCCCTGTCAGAGCAGATACCTGGCTTGCTGGCTAAGCCCCCAGTAGGGAGTGTACCAGAGGCAATTGATTGATGTATCTTTCACACATCAGTGTTTCTTTGCCTCTCTTTCTCCCTCCTGTACTGTCTATAAATAAATAAATAAAATCTTTTTTAAAATCTACAAAATATGGATGATAGAATTAAAAGATCAGCTGAATCAATAGAGAATTATATCGTGTTCTTGGATTGGAACCTGCAAGGTTATTCAGGTGTCACTTCTAACCAAACTGATCAATATATTCAACACAATCTTAACCAAAACTTCACTGTTTTAGCAGAATGTGACAAGGTGAGTCTAAAATTTATATGGAAATGCAGAGAAAAGCAAGAGTAGGCAAAGCAATTTTTTAAATGATAAACAGAATAGGAGGACTTACTCATAATGATTTCAAGACTGGAAACAGTTAGTACAATCAAGATAACTTGTTACTTGTGAAATAATAGGCCTAAGGATAAAAGGAACTGAATTCAGTCTTAAATGAACTTAAACATGCATAACTAGCTAATTTTCATCAAGGGTATTAAGGTAATTCAGTGAAGGAATGGACAATCTTTTCAGTAAATGATGTGGATACAACTGGCTATTTATATGGGAGAAAATTATTATATCATACTTTACATCATGAGGAAAAATTAACTCAAAGTGAATGATAGGCTTAAATGTAAACCTAATATAAATTTAGGGGAAAAATATAGGAGAAAAGTGTTGATTTGGAAAGGGAAAATGATTCTTAAGTAATACTCAAAAAGCATTAACCATAAGAGAAAATATAATAAATTGGTTTTTAGAAATCAAAATGTAAAAATTTTGCTCTTTGAACACACCATTAAAAAAATGAAAAGGCAATCCAGGATAAAAAAGTACATTTACAATTCATTAATAAGACAAATGATCTATTTTTGCATAGGCATATTACAAAAAGAGGTGCATGACTGCGTAAATAAGCACATGAAAATATGCTCAACATCATTGGACAACAGGAAAATGCAAATGAATCAAAATGAGACCCTTTCACACTCATTAATCTTGTTAAGGTTAAAAAAATGTAAATTCTAAATGTTGCTTAGGATTTGCAAAACTAGAACTCTCAAATACTGCTGGTGGACATGTAAAATGGTACAGTTACTTTTGGAAATGGTTTAACACTTTTCTTAGACATTAGCAACCAAAAAAATAAAAAGGTAGATGAATTAGACTTCATCAACAATAAAAGCTTCTGTACTTCCAAAGGCATTTTCAAGAAGGTCAAAAGATGGCCTACAAAATGGGAGAAAATATTTTCTTTTTTCAATATATTTTATTATGCTATTACAGTTGTTCCATTTTTTTCTCCTCTTTATTGCCCTCTGCCCAACACCTGCCCTCTGACCCGCATTCCCCCACCATAGTTCATGTCCATGGGTCTTACATATAAGTTCTATGGCTTCTCCATTTCCCATACCATTCTTAACCATGCCCTGTCTATTTTGTACTTGATATTTATGCTTTTTATTCCCTGTATCTTTTCCCCCATTCTCCCCCCTCTCCCTCCCCACTGATAACCCTCCAGGTGATCTCTATTTCTGTGATTCTGTTCCTGTTCTAGTTGTTTGTTTAGTTTGTTTTTGTTTTGTTTTAGATTAGGTTGTTGATAGTTGTGAGTTTGTTATCATTTCACTATTCATATTTTTATCTTATCTTTTTCTTAGATAAGTCCCTTTAACATTTCATATAGTAAGGGTTTTGTGCTGATGAACTCCTTTAACTTGACCCTATCTGGGAAGTACTTTATCTCCTCTTCCATTCTAAATAATAGCTTTGTTGGACAGAGTCATCTTGGATGCAGATCCTTGCCTTTCATGACTTTGAATACTTCTTTCCAGCCATTTCTTGCCTGCAAAGTTGATTTGAGAAATCAACTGATAGTCTTATGGCACTCCTTTGTAGGTAACTGTCTTCTTTTCTCTTGCTGCTTTTAAGATTCTTTCCTTATCTTTAATCTTGGGTAATGTAATGATAATGTGCCTTGGTGCATGCTTCCTTGGGTCCAACTTCTTGGGGACTCTCTGAGCTTCTTGG